AACAAGCTAATCAAAGTCTTCAGGATTACTAAGTCTATAGGCAGGTGAGGTTTTTTTTCAGGGTTGCAGCTGAACTCTGCAGGACTGCGGCTCTCTAGGACCGAACTTGCCTACCCCTGTTATGGCCTATATATTATGCTCTATGCCTTCTGAATGAAAAAGCCAATCGGTAATCGGTAAAGTCAGCGCGTCACTGCAGCTGCCGTTAGAAGTCAACACATGGTTGCCAGGTTGACAAAGATAAGTAACACACTTAGCAGATAACTTGCCTACCCCTGTTATGGCCTATATATTATGCTCTATTTATTATTCTTTAGAAACCTCACACACATGCCACAATATCGATACAGGGCCAGCTGTATCGATACTCGTATCATCAAATTTCTGTGACGATACATCGTCGTATAGATGTATCGAACACAGCACTACTGTGGCCCTGTCCCAAATGACACCCTAGACCGCAAGTGCACATGAAGTGTTCCATTTGGGACAGGGCCTGTGACTGTGAGGTAAATCCGTTAGGGTTTGTCGAAAAACTCCCAACTCATTTTCTCTTCAAACATCAAAATCATCCTACATTGCTGCAGAAGCCAGTGTTTACAAAGTGAACGTACAAGGAGGGTCAAACACGCTTTACAAAAAAAAAAAAGGTAAAACAATGATGTAGGACGATTTTGAAGTTGGAGGAGAAAGGTTTTGACAGTTTTTAGACATACCCTGTCTTGAACCGTTGTACACAGAGTACACATGCGCCTCGCAGAGCTAGACAAGAGGAGCATTTGTGGTTAAAAAGTTAATAAATATATTTTTTAAGAAAATGACAGATCGTTTCGCTAGATAAGACCCTTATTCCTCGGCTGGGATTGTGTAGAGCCCTTTGAAGCTGCATTGAAACTGCATTTTTAACCTTCAATCCGTTGAGCACCATTGAAGTCCAATATGGAGAAAAATACTGGAATGTTTCCTCAAAAACCTTAAATGGTTCGCGACTGAAGAATGAGAGACATGAACATCTTGGATGAAATGGGGGTGAGTAAATTATCAGGAAATTTTTATTCTGAAAGTGGAGTAATTATTTTAAAGGGGTCATATGACGTTGTTAAAAAGAACATTATTTGGTGTATTTGGTGTAATGCAATGTGTTTATGCGGTTTAAGGTAAAAAAAAACCACATTATTTTCCA